CAGAACTCTACTGCTCTCTCTGAATGCACTGTATTCTTCCTCCAAAACATCTACGTCGGTTTCACTTATATGTGTTTGTTTAGGTTTATTCATTTCGATTGGGTCTCCGCTTCAAGTGCTATCTCCATACGTAGCACAGTCGCTTTTAAGTGTCCCGAAGTTCCCTTCTCTCAAAGCAGCAGGCCATGGCGAGGGTTGTCACAAGTCCTTATGGGATATTGTGTTCAGTGCAAAGACAGCGCAAAACCAGGAAATCTCAACTGGACCTGTGCGTCCAACTAAATGGCGATATGTATTGAAGGTACTTGAAGACCTGCCAGGGTTTTATAATGAGACGGAGGCGATTGCAGCATTAGCCCACCAGCCATTTCTGTGAGGTGTCACCCTCACATACTAAACTGGCCTCAATCCTGGGATGCTTTTTGAGAGACGGCATTTGTTTCCCCGGACATAGGATATTCATCAAGCATGTGTGACCTTTTAAACCAGGCCCTCGTCTCCTGCCGCTCTTGGTCTGGGACTGCTTATTGGTTAGTCGCAGCTAACCTACCGGAGTAGGCCGTTTACGATCCGCCCTGTGTGACTTTGGTAAGCCCTTACCACTTCTCATATTCGAGTGAGAGGAAATTTCTTTGTTTTTTTCATTTGCGAATGAAAAACAGCGGAAATTTTTTTGTCGATCGCTTTCAGAGTGTGAGAGATGATAAATTTGTTTGCATTTTTCACTCACGATAAAAGAATGCTAAATTAATGGTGGAATATTCTTGATCGCGAAAGTGACAGAACGTGAGTGAGAATTTCCGAACCCTGATCTTAGTATTAAAGCCTGCACTTTTGATAGGCATCTTTTTTCACTGTCCTGAAAATATTTTACAAGGGATTATGAAAAAAGGATAGCAGGTTCATTTTACGACTCTAGTAAACATTTTGGTAAATGCATAATTCACATAAACCGTCTTACGTAAAGCAAGAAAAATCCAGAATTACCTAGTAGAAATGTAAAAAGATGTAATCACACTGCTCGTTGACATAGTTCAGGATAGTTTCGGGACAATTTCGGGACTTTTTCCAGTTCGGGACTGGGTCAGGACATTTCCGTGACTAGATCGGTAAATAGATGTTCTTTTGTTTCAGGATTTCATATAATCAATAATCTAACCTATTTAAAGCCCCAAGTCCTTTTTTAAATATTTTTATGCCAAAAACTTTAAAAAAAATTTTGCTACTTTCCCTGCAAACCAAAGTTCCCGAAATCTTAACGAAATATTTAGGAGTATCTCACTTCTGTAACGATTTTTTTACGAATCTTCAAAGAAAGTTTTATAAAGTGGTTGACACGAACTCGTAAAGAAATTTCTGTACGAAAAATAATGAAAATTCTGAAAAAATTCTGCAAGAAGTTCTTCACATAGCAGCATTATTTTCATTGCTTTACCGATTTTCTTGCGTAATTTCGTAAAATATCGAATTATGTATAATTAATTTCATTTTAGGGAATTCGGCACAAATCAGATGAGATCTTGACGAATGCTTTGAAATTTCTCTACAATTCAGAATACTCTGAAAAAATGGTTTAGAGGTTTACCATTATTTAGTTGTATGTATAATTTTGTGATTGAATTGAACATTGAAGCTCAACGTTTACTGAAACATTCGTTGAGTTTTTATTTATTTTTTTTTTAAATAAACTTCATAAAATCAATAGCGCTTAACCCACTAAACTTTCATGATGCCCATATCAAAAATATTTCTATGAAAAAGTCTATGAATACATTTATACAGTGGTACATACTAATACATTCACAACCGTTTCACATGCCAAATATTTTATACATAAATAGGCACATCCAATGGGCGGCTCTGTTAATAACTACTCCAAAAAAAAAACTCTTTTCATATATTTATGTACACATGTGGTATGAGTATTTTATTAAACAACTTCCTACCTTCAAACTATTACAATTCCTGAAGCGACTGTAAGCGTACATACTTACACACATACATGCTTACAAACATACATTTTTAAATTATATTTTTATCGTATTTGGTTTTTTTTTTGCGAAGCAACCGGAATGATTGAAGCGGTTATTGCACTTTTAAAATAAATTTCAATTACACTTTATAGCAACTTCCGGCTTCTACAATCGCTCATCTGAGTATGCTTTATGCCGTCGCGGCATTTTCAATAAAACTTTTGGCTTTGCTACAAAAGTTTAGCCCGCAGCAATACGCATTCTTGCCTTTGTATAAATATTTGAGTATATGTATATTGGTGTGTATGGTTGTTGTAAGAGCCCAGTGTGGCAGAAACTTTATTCAACAAATGCAATTATTCACATGCGCTTCATTGAATTTTGTTCAAGAGAAAAAATAAAAAGATGTGCTGGCGTTAAAAGGCAGCAATGGCAGCCAGCAAAAGCTGACAGGAAGACGTTGTTCGTAAAGGCGCTCGTAAGCGTATCTATTGCGAATAAATTGAGATAAATGGCTTAAAAGGCGATGATTGAAGCTACGGAAGCAAAACTATTCAAAATATACTTAAGACTTTTTATTGGTTACAAGTAAGGGGCGTTCCACGCAGATACACATGTCTGGGACACAATACGGCATTGAAGCTTCGTTTTATTCGATTCTACTTTTAGTCTTCCTCTTGCTATTTGGAATTTTTTCGTATTTGTTATCGGGTTCGTCATCGTACTCGTCTTCTATTCGCCGTCGGACGTGTATTCGTATTCCCCTACACCTATAATATTTTAATATGGGTATCAAAAGAGAGAGATTAAGAAAGCTTTATTTCGAAACTATTTTTGAAGAGAGTTGCCACCTCTTAAGAAATTCTTAATCACATTACTTAAGAAGTTAAATAAGATTTTAATATTGGTATTAAAGAACAGAGGATTAAGAAAACTTCTTTCGAAAATATTTTTGAAAAGAGTTGGCACCAGTTCAGAAATAAAAAACCATTTTAATCGACAAGCAAAGTGAAATATTTCAATATAGGTGCCAAACGGAAGAGGTTTTAGTAATCTTTGCAGACTTACAAACCCCTGCAACAGTATAAGAATTATAAAACCGTTTTTTTGGAGACATCGGCCAAAGGTTTCAAGAAAGAGCACATGATGACGAAGCTCAGAGACTAATTGAGGATTAACTTTTCTGAATGGTGGGTGGTGGATCGCCCACTCTGCAACGAACGGGAGAACGGTCCAATGAGTTATTCGGTAGGTGGATTACAACATGACGAAATTGGCGGCTAAAGTTACCGAAACCGGACCTATACTATTTCCCGAGCAAAGGCGCATTTCACATAAAATGGTGAACCGCGCGGAGAGCGGTAACGCACCAGGAGGAACTGGCAAGAAATTTCTGCTGAATTTTCTACTGGCACAGTTGCACTAGCGGTTACATTCTCAGTGGAGGAAGAACTGCACACTTGGTGTTTAAGCGCCCTCTGAACCTTGCGAGTCTGGATGCACCAAATTGCAACATTAGCAAAACAGTGGTGCTGAGCCGATATTGCAACAATGCAAATTAATAGTTTGCGACCACTATACGATGCCACACAAGCATGCAGTCGAGGCACTCGATCGAAGCTTGCAAGATATCCGCAGCAGCCGATCGCTCATGGGTGAATTAGTCGTATTGCTCGCAGGAAGTTTTCGGCAGACGCTACCTGTCATCGAGCGTGGCACTGCGGCAGGGAGATATGTAAGTACATGCATCAAGTCTTCGCCATTGTGGGCAAAGGTGGAAGTATTGAACCTCACAACTAAAATTCAGTGACAGAGAGTCCGGACTCTTTGCTCAAGACCTCCTTGATATCGGTGAGGGCCGCATGGAAAAGTGCCTGGTGAAGCGGCCACATACATGTCTGGTGATATTGATGACAAATGAAATTGCAACAACGTATCCTATCGAGTTTATAAACTCCTAAGAATTTGCAGGGGTACCGTCGCACAAACTGGAATTAAAGGTTGGGGGTGTCAGTCATATTGATGCTTAGCGTGGACGCACCCCGATTGAGCAATGGCTCAAGACTATGCATAACGGAGCTTACAACAAATACTAAGCAAGCCACCATCATCACTGGCGGGGCCAAAGGACAATCAATATTGGTACCATGAATTCCTAACAGAAATGCCATTTCATTTTAAACGTTTGCAGTTTCCGTTAAAAGTAGTCCTCAAGATTTATAAAAGCCCAGGACAAATACTTAAAGTTGCAGGAATGCATCTGAGCAATCCATGTTTCTCGCACGGACTACGTTGGCTGCTCGTCGTGGTGATCGAGAGCCAGAAATCTATATATGCGCAAGATAATAAGTCCCGAAACTTTGTTTAGGGAGAATGTGTGAGAATGATCTCAACATTTTTGTTTAAGCTATCCAGTTTTTTTGATACTACGGTGTGAATACTTTTAGCTAATCAATTGGTGCTCTCTGAGTTTGAAATCTGCAGACATCGAAGGTTCATTCTTTGTATACAACATTTTTCGAAAGATGTTAGCAGCTACCGTCCATAGGCTTATCACAGAGGACTGATGCGGATCTTCTGATAAACTTTATCAGATGTTTACGGACAGATATTTCATAGCTGTGCTTTGATGGAGAACTTTATTTGTTAACTAATCTTCGATTAAGTTTTGACTAAAATGCTTGTTCATTCTTCATCAAATCGACTAAAGGGTGATTGTTTTTTGGAAATCCAAAGTTTGACATTTGTATGCATTTTCAATAGCTATGAAAAAATATCATTGCTGATGGGAAATAAAGTATCACATAATTGAAGTAGCCCGTTTAAGAAATGCTGACTCAAATATATTTTTAGAATAACTGAAAACAACCAACAATACATTTCTGGAATTTCCCCCATTCAATGATCACCTCTACCTACTTGCTATTTCCCGTAGGCATGTTGCTTCCTTTTAGTTTCTTACACTTATCGCATTCAGCCACTTTGTAGACTATTTTTGTAATCATAAATTCCATAAATTTTACTTACTTCTTGAGTGTGGCAGCCAATGCTAGATCGGGTCGAACATCAAATCGTGTTTGCATATAGAAACGCAATAAATTATCGCGTTCATTTTCACGTAATCCTTCGTCGAGTGCTAATGCGCCCAGCGTGTGATATGATTCGGACTCGGTGACGCCAAATAATAAATCATAGCTGTAATGGAAATGCCAATGGCAAGTCGATGAGTATAAATGCATAAAAACATACATACAAAATTATGTAGGTAGAAATATTAGAGCATGCATCCTATGCATATCTATGTATGTGTAGTTGTAAGTACATAAATGCGTTTAATTAAATGCCTGAATTATTCACATATGTACATACGTAAGCATCAACCCACACACAATAGCACAATAGACCTACCCATACCGGTCACAGTGCCTTACCCAACGAACTATCTATCCATCTATCGAAGCATCAACACGAATGCCACACCTTAAGCTGATTGTGCGTAAACATGCAGCGGAATGGAGGAGCGAGGCGGTTAGTGTTATTACCTACTATAAATAAATAAAGCTTAGATATGTAAATTGCTCGTGCTTGTGAGAAGTGGCATTAACCCGACTATAGAGTAACAGCAACAAAAGTGATAGCGAAATCAACACAACTACACTAATACCATGAACCTACTCCAAAATAATGCACCAAACTAAAGGCCAAGAACAACGCTAATACGCGCAACCAACAATCAAGTGCCATTTTAACCACTGTTAAGCCCAAGATCCATTTACCTAAATAGCTAAGGTACATATGTATGTGTATTTCCTTTCTATGCACATAATAGCATCTACAGGGACTCGAAAAAATGATCACGTGTTGATTTTTTTTTTTAATATTCGTAATGTTTTAGGAGCTATTTTTTTTGTTATTTTTCTATAAATCACAATTTCAAACTTTATACAAAATTTAGGAAATTACAACGAATTTTCATCAAAATTTCAACTTTTTAATCTGAATGGGGTTAAAAAATCGCGCTGATTTTTGAAGTCTTTTTGAGACTGTTTTTGCGGGTTTTAAATACAACAAGTGCAATTTACAAAAACTGGCGTTGATATTTTGAAAATTTGTTGCTAACGGTCTCCTGCATTTTATTTCATTGAAAAAAGTGCAAAAATCTGTCATTAAAAAAATTCTCAAAAATCTACCCTTTGAAACTTGCACTTCATTTCACTAAAATTGTATGTGCTATATAGAACTGCATACCAAAAAATAAAAAGTTTGAATTTTGAAAAAAAAAATCGTTGAATTTTCGTAAATTTTTGTATAAAGTTTGAAACAGTAATTTCTAAGGGTTTGGTTAAAGCTAAGACCGTATTTTTATAGAAAAATAACAAAAATAAATCAGCTCGAAAAACATTGTGGACATTAAAAAAAAAAAAATCAACACGTGGTCATTTGTTTGAGTCACTGCATGTGTATGTATGGCCGTGTAAATTCAAATCCTTTCCATAGTTTCTATATATCTATGCATGTGTGCACATTCGCCTGCCTGCCTCTGATTATTTACCTCAGCTCACTGCGGCTTGTTAGCAAATACGCAAGCGTTAATAGCGTATAATGGATGCGGTAAGTTTCGGCCAACGATGCCGATACATCGAGTCTTTCGCGCCTTCACTGATTAATGATAGTTGTTTGCCAGGCTTAAGTAAACTACTTAATTTTGCGTCAAGCAAAATAAACAAAAGAAGAATTTCGGTGGCATCTACGCGCTGCTGGATATTTGGGTGCAAACCGCATAGTTGCGTATGGACGTAGTAGGGATAAAGGACATGTGGCAATTTCTGCATGGCCTGTTAAACTAGTTAGCGGTAAATGCAAAAAAAAATGTTGTGAACACAACTGGTAAGGATTGGGGCTGATTAATAAAATTTTATGTAAAGTTTTTTTGTAATAATCAATTTAGAATTGAGATGATATACATATGTATATACATACAAGTACATATGTGTTCATTAGGGAGATTACACATTTTCTTCTAAGGCCTCAAAAAAGGATTGAAAATATAGGGACTCATTTATGTATATTACTAGTACGTCGAGGGAAAGAGAATATAGCTGTTCAATTTTCAATTCATCTCACTCAAAAATTAACCATCTCAGTCTAGTGGAAGTCAGACAGCTGCACAGAAAAAATTTTTCTCTAATATCGTCATTATTCAGCCAAGTTTTGCAAAGTGGGCCGTCGAAATAAATAAATAAATAAAAAATAATAAACATATTAAATTTTTTCAACTAATATAAATGCAAAGCACAATTTCGTTGTCTCTTTTGCCATGCAATACTTATACAGCTCCGTTATTTATCTTCAAACAAAAAAAAAGCATTCGCAACTACATGCGTGTCACACTCCAGTGCAGTGTTACTCAACTGAAAGTATATATTTTTCATGAAATTGTATATAAACGACTGTTACGAACCGACTGAAATGTTCTGTATATTGTCCCATCACTTTGTATGGTTGATTTGGTATCACATGGCCATCCACAATTGGACCCAATGAAGTTGAAAATTGGGGAAATGATGTTGGTATTTTTAAGATGTCCTGATAGCTGAAAAAATAAAAAATAAACACAAGAAAATAAACTGTGAATAGTATTTAAAGAAATGTAAGTATTTATAAATAAATAAAGTAAAATAAAATATCAGTGCATTCGTGTGTAATATGTATGTACATATATGAATTCAAGAGCAAGCAAATAAGAAACAGTCAGCATTAATATGCTTTTCGTGAATGAGCAAAATAAATAGAACAAACGATAGAAAAAAGTAGCATAGTAAATATGTATGCAAAATTTATGATAAACTAAGTTTATTGCTCTATTTCCGCGCCACAGATGATTGCGTATACGCCATGTATACCCATACTCGTAGGTATGTATGCCCATATGTACTTACAATGGTACGATCACCCACAATTCTTGCACAATATAAACGTTATAATAAAGTTGTAAAGTAAAATGGGGCGACGTGCAACTAAATCTTTTATTTTCTACTTCATGGCATTTCAACTGAATGCACCCGTTATTGTGTGGGAAAACGTGTGTACGTATATACGTATGTATGTATGTGTATGCGCATTGAGGAATTGAGTTACCTAAAGAAATGTGAATATAAAAGTAATGGGTGAAAGTAACTTTCATCAAAACGGGTCGATTTAGTTAGTCTCATTTTCAACGTAGGTGTACGTAGTTACGTATTTACATTTGAGCACACAGCTGTGGTAATTTTCATATCAAATTCAAATATGCACAGAATAAGTTAAAGAGACTATCAGCAATTGTGTGTAAAATTTAAAAATTTGAGTCTTTAAACAATAAATATGTAGTTCAAAATTAGTCAGAAAAATTAGTAAAAACTAAATCTTCCCTGTTGACGTGACCTAGTTGAGCAGGCAGTAGACTACTTTCCTGTTGGCTGATATCTTCGCATGAAAACTGATATGAAAGGCTAACGAACCCTCCATTGGTCCTTCCAGCCATCCGTTAAAAGAGTGCTAGTGCTTTCTTCCAGCTTGTCTCCCGTCCACTTGAAATCATCCAACAATACTAGATTTCCCAAGTTCAGAGTCAAATATATTATAATCTCTTAGCAACTTGAACTATCAAATCGAAAAATGCTATTTAAGAGTGAATTTAGGTGCCACGGAGCGAATGGTCCTAAATAACATAAGGGGAGGTCCAATTTATACCAACTCCTCCCCATACGAAATCGGCAGTTTTTTATCCTTTTAACTATGTATAAAAATTTGTTTTTATATATATTAAATTATTGTTTATAATCCAGTCAGTGCATTCTGTTGCAATTCGAGACACAAGATTTTTTCAAGGCTCTGAATTTCGCGGAAGATGATATGCATATCTAAATATATGGTTTTGAAAACTTTGAGATTTTATTCGCCAAAAATTAGTACAGCCACGGAAAATGCAAACAAATTTATTAAAGTGTTTTGAATTATTTTGAAAATAAATTTGTTTCGGCGGTAAAAATATGGAGAAGATAAGCGGATGGTTGGAAATTCAAAAACCGTTTTTTATGCACTTGACGTAAGCGTAACTTCGATATTCAACTTCAATATACATACATACAATTTGTGCGATATTATTTATCTGGATTTAGGTTTGAACTCGAAACTCGGCCAACATATTGTGTAGGCATCAATCTATTATCTTTATTATTATTCCTTCGTACATCAATCCACTCTCAGGATTGTATAGCAAGAGAAAGGAACGCGCACTAGCTCCGTGGATCTGTATCTTCCGAGGTATAACTTCGGAAAAACATATGAAATGCCGCTGTGAAGGATTTAATATTATATTGGCCCTTACACAAAATGTTATCTAGTGTTTGACCGAGCTTCTTTTTCCCATTTGCTTAGAACTTAATAGCCAAAAATGTCACTTCCTAAGAACACCGTACCTAGAGAAATATGACCTAATAGCATTCAGCTAAGGAGCCCCGCGAGGCTTCTTAAAGCTACGAAGATCAAAGAAGACCTCTAACTACTTCAAAAAAAAAAATAAATCAGCTACATCCCGAAATAGCATAATCTCTTAGCTATTTCCAGCACACTTTTGTAAGTTTTTATTTCTCCTCCACAACATATTTTCCGAGGATATACATACATATGTATATCTATGTGTATGATGGCCACATATTAAAATGCGTGCATTAATAGTGAACCACAAAGCCTTTTAAGCTCGTGCCACTTTGACTGCAAATTATTAAGTTTTTTTTTTAAGCGTAAAGGATAAAGGAATATAGGTACTATACGAGTTTGTGTATATGAGACAATTTAAAGAGAAAAATGCCCAACATGTGCCTGTCAAGGTAACTAAAAAAAAGGAGACTAACAGGTCTATTCTGCACGTTACCGAAGATTTTGTAACCGGAAAATTGTATTACCAAAAAATTTTACCAGTTCTTGTCACCGCTTATAAGATGGTAACAAAATTTACCCGTTACAAGAGTATACAGAATGCGAAAAGGGTTTAAAAATTGACAGGAACTTTATTTACCGGTTACAAACTTTTTATTACCAGCGCAGAATAGACCTGTAAAAAGTAAAAATTAAATCCTGCGCCAACAACAGTGCCTATGGTGGCAATTAAAAAAAAATATGATGGGAGAAATTCAACAAACAGCCGGCGAGGAGAAGTTAGCGGTAGCAAAAAACATTGCCAAAATCTAAGTGCTGGGGTAGCTGTAAATTTCCAAATCAACGCAGTTACATTTGATGTACAAAAACATAGATTCTTATGTGCTAGAGAGCTGCTTAAACGATTTTACTTTGCCTTTGTACTATTGAACAGTGTTGAATGTATGAGCTTTTCTCATCGATCTGGCAGCTACCGTGGAAATTGTGGTAGATTCCAAAACAATGTGGTAACTTAATGGTGTTTTCGTTTCTACTAAAAAAATTTGCCTTTTGATTGCCCCCTTTCTCTTTTCGTGTTCGATTCTAAAATAAAGGCGAACGGTGAGAAAACTTTGTGTTCGTTTCCTAAAATGTCGCAATCTTTTAAGACAGAACAAGTACATTATCTGCCCTTTGAGGCTCAGATGGTTGCTTGAAACGAAAATGTTATAAGTGTAGCAAATACCCGGCATACTTCACTGCGTCCTAAAAGTCATTTTGTGTCGTTTCATACCCGTATTGTAATATTTTAACGCCAGGGTATACACCATTGAAAATCGAAATGACCTACCTAAATCCCATCACATAACCGAGGGTTAAAACCGCCTATCTATTAATTAATTTAAAATTTATGCAATTTTTGTTTGCATTATCTTTTTTCGAATTCCGTCTAATTAAATATTTGTATATTCAAAGGCAGATTACAACTCTTTTAAGTAAATACGTGGAGTATTTGAGCACTTTGAGTACGTGATGTGAAGTATAGCAAATATAATCAAATGTTTTGAACACCTTTTCAAAACCATTTGTACAGCCCTCTAATATGTGCGTATATACTACACGTATGGATGAAGTAAAGCTTAAAATGACAGTCATTAAAAATATATGTACATATGTCTTATAAAAGAGAATTCATAAAATATCCAAAAACAAGCACTAAACCAGTGCAGAGCTCTCAAAAAACTGACGACGACAAGACCATATGAGTGATGGGAAAGAGTAAAAAACCAAAAAAATTGCAGCGACCAATAAACCATAAATCACGTTTGACTGCATCAACAAAAGCTGACCAAGATATTAAAGGAAAAGTAAAATATTCTGCATATAAAAAACTTGCAAAAATCTGAAATAAAATCCGCTCTGTGTGTTAGTACTTACTACGAAAGCCAAAAAGAATGTTTAAGGTATTAAATTTCTGATGAAGGACTTCATCTTTAAATCTATTTTAACGCACAATAATGGTAACGTAGAGCATTTTGCTTCATGCAGGAAGGAATATGTATTCAAGCGAATGTGGCACCTCAATCAAGGAATCCCAGTTCGCTCTAAAAACTGCATGTAGACATAACTTAATCTATGCAAGTTTACTGTAAACTGTTTTCTAAACTATCCTTTAAAAAAATTTAAAACGAAATTGGTTTTCTTCTATTGAGTTATTATTTTGCTTGCTAATAAGCTATTTGGTTATAAAATATTGCACGTTAAGGATACGCTGACGTTCCTATGCTGCTGTTTGACTTCGCTATAGAATTTTTATTTTCTACTATTTCTCTTTTTCGTAAAGCAATTTTTCACTTCTTGTTGGCTCAAATAAAAAAAAATTAGGAAAAGCTCGCTTTCCGCGTAAATTTAAGCGCGTGTAATAAAATTGAATTTTGTATAAACTTCCAAGCTGTCATCTATCAATTGCGTGTGACTACAAAATGATAGAAAATGTTCCCACCAAATCCTCTACAGTTCCTATGATGTAAGCTGCTGTAATATGTATGCGCAGCTAATGTTGTGTGAAGAGAATAGATTTTCACGTAGTCTTTAGAGATGTAGATGTTTACAAACAATCAAAACTTCGCCATTTAGACGTGTAAGAATCTGTGTAAGCGCGTGAGATTACAGTGATGAAATGCGAAGAGCAGAAATGTCAATATTGTGTGCTGGCTTTAAAACTTATACGCGAAGCCGAAAAAAAATTATTCAACGCTTAGAAGGTTGAGCTAAAGCGTGCCAACAGAAAGCTAACAGTTTCTACTTAAGCCTTATTCTACTTAAGCCTAAAAGCGCTTTGAAAGTTAACAACTACCTTCTTCTTTTTCTTCTTTCTTCTTATTTTTAGGCGCTACCGAGCGACGTATACGTCCTAGACATTTGTATAAAATCGCATACAAGGGATATCGATACTCAGCACAACCTGCATACAGCAAAGGTAGGCCTAAGTACTCAATATGCTTTACATGAAGTCGTGAGCCTAATAGAAAAATCCTATGAGTGTCAGCGCGAACGACGTATTACAAGATATAAATAGAGGAGACGTCAAATTTATGATGGACGCGGATGTTGTGGTATTAGCAGCTACAAGCCCAATCCCTTTAACCTTTAGCGAAATACTTGAAATAATCCTGGGAACTATATACGTCTGCG